CATGAAGTCCAATTTATCTATTTTTTTTCTATTGTTGCCTGTGTTTTTGGTGTCACATCCAAGAAATATTGCCATATCCAATGTCAAGAAATTTTTCCCTGTTTTCTTCTGTTTTATAGTTTTAGCTCTTACATTTAGGCCTTTGATCCATTTTGAAATAATTTTTGGATATGGTATAAGGTAAGGGTCTAACTTCATTCTTTTGCATGTGGATATCCAGTTTTTCCAGCACCATTTGTTGACAAGACTATACTTTCCCCATTGAATGGTCTTGGCACCTTTGTTGAAAATCATTTGACCATATATGCCAGGGTTCATTTTTGGGCTTCTGTTCTATTCCTTTGGTCAATATATCTGTCTTTATGCCAGTACCACATTGGGAGGTTGTTTTTTACTGAGATATAATTGACATATAAGTACCACACTGTTTTGATCACTGTAGCTTTGTATTAAGTTTTGAAATCAGGAAGTGTGAGTTCTCCAACTTTTGTCTTTTTCAAAATTGTTTTGGCTAGTTGGGGTCCCTTGAGATTCCATATGAACCCTAGGATGAGTTATTTCTATTTCTGCAAGACATGTCATTGGGATTTTGATAGGGATTGCACTGAATCCATATGTCATTTTCTGCAATATTGACATCTTAACAATATTAAGTCTTCCAGCCCATGAAAGACTTTCCATTTATTTGTGTCTTCTTTAATTTCTTTCATCAATGTTTTGTAGTTTTCAGTGTAGAAGTGAAAAATGGTTCTCAAGCAAGCTCTACTACTCTGTTAGTCTGAGTGTACTGTATGAAATAGAGACTTGACTAGGATTTCTTCTAGCTCTAAATATCTATGATTCTCCAGTATTTAATGTAGCCTTGAAGTTAACTAAATTTTACTCATTCTTGGCCAGAATGGCAGTATAGATCAATTAAACAAATATTTACCGAAAACTTCTTATGTTCCAGGCACTGTTAAAAACACAGTTCACTATAACAGAAACCTTCTTCCTTCGAATCCCTTTTTCAATTCCCAAATTTACAACAAATCACTTTCCTCAAAGGATTTTACTTCTTCTGGATTGAAGGTTTTGTCAGAACACCCAACAGTTGATTTAGTCTGAAAACCAGAGAATCAGCTCATTCAGTTAACTTCCAAATATCATTTGCTTCTGTTAAATAATATTTTCTATTCTTTAAATGGAGGGCGTAGAACCAAATCCTTGACGGAAAGATTTATATCGTGTGTACGATTACACAGACCACAAAAGATACACTGGGCCAGTGTATCTGAAATTATTTTCAGATTAAATCTTCTATGCAGTACTTCGTCTCACTCAGCTCATAAGTCTGTTTGTTCATCACAGCACTGCATCACTAATCATCAACAACCATCTTACAGAATCCAGTCATTCAACAAACACTTAACAGGTGTTACCTTGTAACTCCATTAGATGCTAAGTGTCACTGATCCAAAAGCAGGACCAAGAGAGCAAGGAGAGATGTCTCAATACACCCCAACCACCATCATTAGAAAAACACTCAAATCAAATGCCGTACGGCGGGCGGGTCAGGAGAAACAGTTTTTTTTTGTGTGTGTGAGGAAGGATTGGCCCTGAGCTAACATCTGCCAATCCTCCTCTTTTTTGCCGAGGAAGACTGGCCCTGGGCTAACATCCGTGCCCATCTTCCTCCACTTTATATGGGACGCCGCCACAGCATGGTCCGACAAGCGGTGTGTTGGTGCGCGCCCGGGATCCGAACCGGCGAACCCCAGGCCACTGCAGCGGAGCGCGCACACCCAACCGCTTGCGCCACCGGGGCGGCCCCAGGAGAAACAGTTTTATATACAAACGGCAGTGTGTTGTGAAGGGACTCTAATCCAAAAGCCGTAGGCTTTTCTTTATAAAGTCAGTCCTATCTAGAACATTCCCTTGCATTAACATTTACCGAGTCCCCTCAGACACACAGACCTGAAGCAGAAAGAAGACAACAGTCCTATTTCTACAAGATAAAAACCTAAATTGTATTTTGAAAATCTCTCACGTTCAAATTAGAAACCTGCTTAATTTTTCCCTATTTTAAGACAGGGAAAACTGGGGTTAAAAACAACAAAGTAAATAAAATCACACTGGGACACATCCAAATCTATTATAGAAAAATCAGGTCCTAAGCCTGCAGCGCTCCTCATGGAGCTTTGATTAGCTGAGCATGTGCAGAAAACTCACAGCCACGCTGCTGCAGAAACAGAAACGAAGACACAAGCCTTTTCCTCAGTTTATTATACTCTTTACCCCTCCCCCCACCTCACACACACTATTATCCAGAAACACTGATGAAAATGTAGAGCCAAAATCTAGCAATCTAAAATAAAGATCCAGGGCCGGCCCCGTGGCTTAGCGGTTAAGTGCGCGCGCTCTGCTGCTGGCGGCCCGGGTTCGGATCCCGGGCGCGCACCGATGCACCGCTTCTCC